AATAGAAAATTTATAGATTGGATGAAAGTCGACTGGAAATATTCAACGTTGAAGATGAGGGAGAAAGTGGTCTAGAAAAATTTGACGAGAATACTGCAGGATTCTTGTTGATTTAAGACGAAAATAAAAAAGTGATGATAGAGCCTAGATCAGTTAGTGGTCCAGAACCCTCATTCCCTATACTACTCCAAACCTTTCGCCGAATATAACTTCGGCTCCTTTCAACGTATCTTTTTCGTATTAGTCTTGTTCGAATCACAATCCAACACACTATTTAGAGTGTTATTTTCAAGCTTGTATCTGCAGATTTGTATCTTTTATTTCGGTATCTAAAAATATCTCAATTTCAGCCGGTGGCACGCGCGTGCGAGTAGAAACCTGATATTTTGAAAAATTCAAAATAAATATTTCTGCTCGTCGTATTCAAACGAAACTTTCTACATAAAATCGCTTGAATACAAGGAGTATTTTACTGCTATTGACTTGGGCGAATTCTGAAGAGTTTAGAAGATATTCAAGTTTTTCTCGATATGAAATAAGAATGTTTGGCCAAGCAGCAAGTAAATATACGATTGTTTTGGTCTGTGTCATGTTATGACGGCATTTGACCCCCCGTTCGAAAGGTTATTTTATGAGGATTTCAATGATGGTTTTCGTTTTAAAGGGGTAAATACTTGTCGAGATATTTTAATCTTCCCCACTCCAAAGTCGGAAATGCAAAGATGAACCGGACGACAATCCTTCGTCCGCCATTGCAGCGGACGCCATCTTGAATGCAGGATTTGCCAGTCGCTCCGCAACTCCTCCCCTTCCCATCATTCCGCCCGCCCCCATTAATTTTCGTCTTTTCCTAATTAATTATTTGATAGCAAGCGACTGAGGACGAGGCAGTAAAGGCAGTACTTGTAGTGAGCGTGCGTGTTGATTTTTGCGATTATGTAAAAGAGCTGGTTTACACTATAGGTATGTTTTAAGTCAGTGGAAGGATTTATAAGAACTGTTCGAGGGAACTGACTCATGCGTTAACACTCACTTGATCAGTTCCCTCAAAATTTCTTACAAATCCTTCAAAAGTTAGAATTTACCTATGCCAAATTCCTACTGTCGGATCACATATAACCTTCGATAGTGTAAACCAGCCCAAATATACCAATTGCTGGAGCGTATATATACGTAGCATCATTATACACGCATTACCTACCTAAGGCTAAAACTTCATTCAAAAGTTAGTTTAATTCAAAATTTTGTTATGTCTTGCGTAAAGCTTGACGTTTCTGCCCACGAATTCTGTTGGGTCATTAGTATATGTAGGTAATAGACAGATTTATATCGGGAGCGCGGACGTCAAAGACGACGTGAAAATAGCGTGTTGTGCCCATGTATGTATGGATATGCCACGCCATTTGATGCCATTTTCACGTCGTCTTTGACGTCCGCGTCCTCGATCTAAATAGGGAGCTTAAGCATGTAGGACGGCGACACGACGGCGACGGCAACCAATACAATGAGTCAATGAAAAGAAATAAATAATTAAAGTCCCAGAGGAGTTTCATATGTAGTCGTCGCTCTATTTACAACGGCAAATCACAGATTTTCACGTCTTTTATACAACGCCTGCATTTGAAGCCGTAACAAGTGCAACTTAAAATTCGGTTCTGTAGAACTCTACCCAAACATAATTCATAAAAACAATGCTTTCAAATTCTTATCCTGTATTAAATTCATACGAATTATACTATACGACAAGTTTTCTTTACTCTCAATTATTTGAAGGAATTTGTTTTGGCCGTCGTTGTCGCGTTGCCGTCCTACATGCTTAAGCTCGCAAATCTAATCTAATCTAATCTAATCACACGGGCGGGAGTGCAATTAATGATTAACACTATATACGAGTGATATTTGAAAAATTTGTGATTATTTATTTATTACATGACAAAATCGCGTTCTTTAAAATTCAACTGCATTTTTGTCAAGAGGTTTTAATTCTTTTATAAGCAAATTGGTCTAAACGTGGGAAATGATCATAAACTCATAAAGGCACATAACTTAACTAGAACACATGATTCACACTCAATCAATCTACATATTTTAGAGTAAGAAAATCTTTATGAAAACACAAAGAAAAATCATAAGCGTGTCGTATCTGTATATATGTGATACAGATTCATGTTGATTTACATAAACTTTAACTTTGATTTTCTCGGCTTAGAAACGTTTATTTTTAAAATTACTTCGCCAATGAACTCATAAGATGAGTCGTTTCTTAATTCGGCTCGAGTTTGTATCCTATTTACACCGGTCCTACCCGTACTCCTTTGAGTTATGGAGTCTGGCGGCCAGATATATTATAACTAACTATAACTATATATTATAACCAAAATATATTACAACTCAACTCTCAATGCAGGAAAATGTAATGCAAAGGCCAATAAACATCTGCATGAGGAATCAAATTGAATAAACATCTCAATGCAGGAAAATATAAATCAAAGCCAATAACATCTGCATGCATGAGGAAACAAATTAAGTAAACATCTCAATGACAATGCAGGAAAATATAATTCAACGCAAAATCGGCCAAATGTGTGCGAAGAAACAAATGAGACGTACAGCTGAATAGGAATATACTGTTAAGGCTGTTTTCCACTAGGCGGAATTTTCCGCGCGGAGCAGAATTTCTCTTTGTCTTTTCTAATTAGTTCCACCCGAGAAATCACAAGACAAAGAAAAATTCCGCTCCGCGCGGAACATTCCGCCTAGTGGAAAACGGCCTTAAGGCCGTTGTAAAACCACATAAAAGAAAATGGAATAAAGCACAACTCGGGGACACATTCTTGGGCAAAATTAAGAATACAAGAAGGACTAGCTAATCATGTACAAACTACCGATATACTCAAACAAAACGCGAGAAACAGAAAATCGAACAATCTTGCTCGAAAATGCCGGGAAACTTAGCAAAGAAAGCCCGAAATGAAAGAAAGGAGATCAGTAGTCGTATAAGTTATAGTGTCAGTCTAGATTACAAAGACCACATAAGATAAAGGAATAAATAGTAAGCGAATGGCATGCTTGACAACGAACAAGAAAAATCTGTACGGCAACAAAAGATCGTAAGCAGCGACAGAGCATGCGGAAAGTTGCAAAAGACAATACACGGCAAATTAAACTGCAAATATACCTCTTGGTCCGGTGGAGTAGCTTGTGAAATTGACGTTCCTGCCCCTTCTTGCACGAGTTGTTGAATTACATTGGCATCGTCGCCTCGCCGTGGAACTTGTGCGGCGTCTTCGGTATTCGGTTAGTGCGAGACATGTTGCTAGTAAAGCTGCTTGAGCAAACTGACAATTGACCTGAAGTGGGTGTGACCACTGAGCTCTACTATATATATCTGGAGATCGTGCTCCCATATCTCGTCAAACAAAAAAGTGTCCGCAAAAACATGGCGGATTTCGAGCTCCGCGTCCACTATTTTCAGGCGATTTACCACTGACCACATAATATTTTTGAAAGCCACCTGTTTTCGCACCCCCCTGGATGCAAAAAGTTACACTGTGTAATTATTAAACTATCAAGTTTCACAACTTTATATTTTATCAACATGCCGCGTTAATATTGCTCGGTTTATGGTTGTCACAACTCCTTTGACAAAGACGGACTGTATTCACACTGGTAAGGAAATATTATTTTGTGCTTAGATATCATTCGAGAAGTTTTTTTCTGCAAATGACAATGTAAAGCAAACGGTAGTTTATGTTTTGTTCACGTGCATGTGTCACCAGCTTTTCTCGACTATGGATTCTTTTCTAGTGAGGTTTTTGCATGCAGTTTGTTTCATTCAAATATTATATTTCCATTGTTCCTTGTGATGTTCTCGTGTGCGTTTCTCCTACCCACTGTACAGTGTATTTTATAGGCCTGTTTGTATTTATGAAAGCATATTGTTATTGAATTTTTTCCCTTCACATATTTAATAAGCATTCCTGATGCAAAGAAGCATCCAGAATTGTACAGCGTATGGGTTGAGTATATGAATAAACATGCGCCAGTGAAGTCTGTTCCTGCGAAAAGTAGTCGTTTGTGTTCAGATCACTTTAGTGCTGATATGTGTGAGATAAAGGGCAAAAGCCAGAAATTAGTATTGAGACTGGATGCTAATACCAACAATAGTTACACAAAGGTTTGCTCAGGTCATTGGTGCGATTTAAAGTGTTAAAGTGTTATATGTAACAGTGTGCATGATTTACATTCTTTGCTAAGGGACAAGTCATTATTAATGCCGGGTAGGGGGCTGGTGGAAATTTTTATGAATAGCAAAAATTTTTCATGACCCCTTATTTTTCTAACAAACTATCCCCCCCCCCTTATTGAGGCAACATATTTCATAGCCCCCCCCCTCCACCCCAATTCTGAATTCAATTACTCTAAGTCAATTTCGTAACCATTTTTCCTGCCCTCATACTCAGTTTACTTGCAGATGTAAAGAATATTGTAAATATTGAAAATAAAGAATATTGTAAATATTGAAAATGATAGCCAAGTAGATAATTCAGACTTTATACCTGAAAAGTTGTTGGTCCTCAAACAAAAAACCCACACATCAGACCTACTTTTACTAATTGAAAAAAATACATTTGTGTCTGGTGGAAGCATTACTGTATATTGAAGAGATGGCAGAAGAGACTGTCAACAACATGCAGAAACAGAACATGCGAAAGAGGTCCACTGTGTTAAAAGCAGGACAACAATTTTCAATTGAATCTTGCATTTGCAAATGCAGTGCATGACCCTTTAGATAAATTCTTTGGTGATGATGAGGATAACAATTTCCATATACAGTGCCTAGAACACAACTTTTAGGTTCAATATATTGGGCATTACTGTTCAATGTATGTATACTGTATATATCCATCACTCTTTTGATATTGCATGTTACAAACTATTCCATAGATTTTATTTTTTGCCCCCCCCCCTTTATGTTCAAAATATTTTCTGCCCCCCCCCACTGGTCAAAAAAAATATTTTTGTGGCGCCTCTATATTAAAATTTATTGTTACATTTACTAGGAATGGTATGCTGGATGTGTTTTAAAAGAGGGCATACAAAAATTGTGTGCCCAAATAGAGCAAAAACCCACTCAGACAGTTGTTCAAGAACAACATAATTGGCACAATTGCCATGATAATTCACTAAGTAACTTTGTGTATGTTATAATGTGTGAGTGTTGTGTGTTAATTTTAATTTATTTATTAGGCCATTAATAAATATTCTTGGTTTGAAAAATATTTTAGGGGGGGGATGTCCCCACTGCTGGTGCCACCACTGGAAATATCAGCTAATTATAGCCAGCATAGCTTCAATAAAATATATTGAAGTAAATATGACATCAAATACTCTTTTATTAAAAGCGATAGCTATGTGCGTGTTTCACTTGTATAATTTGGGACAACCCGAAAATACCCTTATGGAATTAACAAAATAAAACATGGGTATGAGACCAAGAATACTTATTGATGGCCTGTAATAGTAATATAATAATATTGTATATATTTTTAAATTAAACTTTTTAAATGTTGAATAAATCTAATTTGTAATGAAAATTAATAATGCACATAAGAATATGTTTAATAAAATAATATATAATTATTGTTTGGTGTGCTAGATCTTTAATTAACTAATCTTTTGCCTGGTCAAACAATGATTCTATTGCCATGAATTGCCATCGAATATAACAATGATTCCAGTGACAAACGTAGAGCCATATACATTTGGGTATTTATTAGTGCAGATTTACTTTCCCCATAATGTGCACAGAGTACATTGTGAGTAGACATGATCACCAATGTGCAGTTTCCATAATCTGAAAAATACAAACAGCAGTAAATATTTAGATGATACATGCATTAACCGACATAAGTTTCATTTCAACAAAGCATGGCTGTGTTCACAAATTTATACATTAATTAAAATTATATGTATAGTAGAAATGCAAAAGGAACAACATACTTTTTATACAATTTGAAAGAGAATTATGCACATATCAACGGCCTGCCCGGGGGGTACACCCTGGGACAACTGGGGGGGAAACGAGGGGGAATTTGGTATTTTATCTGTGTGTTCTTCCTGTGAACCCCGGGGAGATTAGGGAGTGGTCATTATTTATGGGGAGTGGGGGGTGTTGGGAAATGGGGAAAATAAGGATTGAAAACTTTTTTGACCCCTCCTCCAGACTGAAGGCAAACTTTTTGTGCCTCCCCCCTCATAAAAGTAGAAACTTTTCTGACCCCCCCGCCCCAGTGTGGATTGAAAAATTAACAGCAATGAAACAGGTGTGCGTTGCAGGTAAAGTTAGATATTAGGACAATCTGTTTAATCTAGCTCATGATGTTTTACCCTGGTGAATATGATTCAACCATATATGATTAAAAAATATATATTATGTGTTACTACTTTGCAATGCAACATTTGTCCTACCATAACCCTAACCCATGACCCGTCTTCATACAGCGAAATGATTTGAACACAGGGTTTTTTAAGAACTTGTCTGGGGGTGGGCATCTACAAAAAGGGACCATACTATATTGAGTGTGGAGAGATGACAGATGGTTGTTGGTGACAAAAAGTTTGGTGTGGTATCGTATGTACTAGTAGGGGGTCTGGGGGTATTCTCCCCCAGAAAATGTTTTGTATTTTTCCACCCCTAGAACTGAAATGTGAGCATTTTCTGAAACAGATTTTTGGATATACAGCGTTACATTGTGCGTTGATAGACCGAATCTGATCAGTTAAGTGTACTTGCATGGTATGTTTATATAAATACCACAACTGGGTCACTCAGGGGGTAGAAAGCTTGTTAAACTTAGTGGGCCCGACTCCCACGATCACGAGGCGCTACCATGGTTGGCGCCGAGCAGGGAAATTTTGAAAATTTTGAGTCTCTAGATCGTTGGAAATAGCATTTTCAGAGTCTTCTTTTTTGCTATTTGTGATTATAGAAATCAGAACTCTAGACATGGTATTTAAGTTCAAAAACTTTTATGACCCCCCCCCTTCTCTGTGTTAAAACTTTTTTGATCCCCTCTATTTATAAAGGTAAAACTTTGTCCCCCCCCTCCCATTTCCCAACGCCCCCTCCCATAAATAATGACCACTCCCTTATACCATGAGCTCGAGTCGTATATGAGCTGATAGCCGACGAGGTGCGTAGCACCGAGTCGGCTATTAGCCATATACGACGAGAGCGAATGGTATAATTGTTTTATAATATAGTCTAATAGCCATTAACTGAAGCAATAATTAATTATCCTCTGTTACAATGTCTTGAAAATTTGTTCGGCCAAAACCGCTTGGGCCTTGGCGTTGAAAATTTGAAATATTTTTGTTTTACAACTCGAAGTGAAAGAAATGGTTTTAGAACCGGTATATCTCACAGAAAAGCTCAGATATGTTATACAGATGTTTGGTAGTATAGTAAGTGCTTGTTGACTGCAAATTCATTTGTCTTTCGTTGCAAACTTTTCTGAACAATTTATATTCTCAATGAACATGTTTTTTTCGCTGTTGCATGTTTCGGTATTAATTCTTTAAAAACTTGTATTTAAACTAATTTCTATGTAATAAATGTATTTTGCTAACCTGTCAAATTTTTTTGAGAGTTTTTCCTTGTACTATTATCTTTCTCAAGGCGAATATTTTCCTTTTTTCTGCTTCGCAAAACTCATGTAATTTTTGGACCGCCATCTTGTTGTTCGCTACTCGCCGTATATGGGCTGATATACGGCGAGTAATTCGACCAATCAGATTGCAGAACAGCTCATATATGGTGAATGACTATATTATAAACATATGTATACTAAAACTGTCTGTACCAGTGTGGGTAGTACCAATGTAAAAATGCTGTGCTGAGTGGTTATATTACTACCTTAAAAAATAAGCAGAAACTCGACGTTTCGAGCGAAGGCCCTTCGTCAAGAGTTAGTACAAACGTCGAGTACAGTTTCTGCTTATTTTTTAAGGTAGTAATATATAACCACTCAGCACAGCAAAACACATATACTGTTTCTTTCGGTCTAGTCAATAAGTGTTAATAAATACAATGCCATAATATATATTATACCTAGGGCTACGTATAACACTACTTAAAAACAAATTAAGTTAACATACGTTTGCAAATACAAGTTTGACAACCATTTTTATCTTTCATAAATCCATAACGACAAAGACGCTGTTTACACAAATGAACTGGACATATTGGAGCACCTATAAATAAAAGCAATATTATAGAACAGTATTAATAACAGATTCGAAGGACAAGACTTTCCACCAAAGCAAAGAAAAAATTTATTGTGCTGAAAAATTAAAGAGAATATATTTTAAAACCACTATAACTTTATTTCAAAAAACTGACCGTACATTATTGTAATAATTTTAATCAAACCTTTATTTGAAATTTTCGGTTATTTGTTTTAGCACCAAATTACATTACAATATTTGAAAGATTTACAAATAATGTAGGTTTGAAATAATCATATCGTGTGTTATTATAGAAGTAAATCAGGTATAATAGTAAGAGCAGTGGTGGCATGGTGTGCTTGCACGCAAGCATGTCATCGTCAGTTATCATACGACTTGAGCTCATGATTCCTATATGTGCAGAACTATTTATTTAATTTAAACAAACACTAGTTTCTTCGATCGTATTAGTAGTGAACAGACTGGAAGTTTTAAAATACAGTAGAGTCTGTAGAGAGCAATTTAATCAGAGTCTGAAGTGATGGGTGCTTTGCGCATCTCGTCAGTTCGACGCATGGTCAACCACTCACAAGTCGAGGTTATGATATAACCATAATTGCATATTCAAAAATACAAAATCCTCCTGATCATAAACGTGTAGTTTATTTTCGCAAATCACGAGCTATATAGGTAGGTATACGTGTATGTTGCATTTGTTGACTATATACAACCACTTGACTCCTGCTGCAAGTTATATGCAGTCGCTCATGCAGCTGCATGTAGATTATAATATTGACTTACTTTTGCAAGTGCAAGTTCGACAACCATTTTTTCTATTTTTTTTGCCATGCATATAACCCTATTTTAAGTTCTTGAAATGCAGTCTGTAGGTCACTTTTAATTCGCTCCTAATAAGTCTCCAAAACGTTAGGTGTGGTGTCGTATATATGATTTTATAATAATAGGGAGGTCTGGGGGAATTCTCCCCCAGAATATTTTTGTCCCCCCCCCCACCTATGACTGGTCAGCTCACCCACGAGTCGAGCTTATGATATAACCATAATTGCATGTTCAATAACACAAAATTCAAATATAGACAAGTCGATCTTGAAATCGAGAGCAGTCCTTGTTAAAAATTTCATGCCAATTTGGGGGGGGGGGGGGCTGACCTCTCAATATTGTTGCAGTTGCTAAATAAATTAGTATCTATTTATTTGTATATACCAAGTCTGAAAAAAAACATTGGCAATCTCGAGTGCACAAAATATATACTGTTTCTTTCGGTCCTAGTCAATATACAAGTACTATTTAAAACACGAGTAGGAGTGTTTTATCAGATATAAAACGCGAGGCGCAGCCGAACGTTTTATGTCTGATAAAACACGAAAACGCCGAGTGTTTTGAATAGCTTAAAATACGACTACAAAAGAATACTAATTAGGATGATTCATTATATAATCCTTCATTATATAATCATACTAATGAGGATGAACAATTATATAATGCCACATGCTTTATCAGATATATAGTCACTCCACGTGACATATTATATGGCTGACATGTTTGCCACAAGGTTTATGAATTATTAATGAGTATTTTAAGTGTTAATAAATATAATGCCATAATATTTATTATACTTAGGTATATCACGACTTACACAAGTGAGCACCATATAAATCTAGAGTGAGAAATATATCTGGAGTGTGAACTTAAGTTCAAAAAGTGAAGGCAACGGATTGCAGGCCTGCAAACAATTTTTGCTTGGTCGTGTTGATCTGCACTGCAATTTATCTAAAACTGAGTTAATTATATCTACCAGTCCTAATGCACCAGTAAATTATGGTTCAGGTTATACGTAACTTCTAACATGCATGTTATACTGTATGAAGGCAAATTAGATTTGTATTGGTCATTAAATCTTACGGTTTAATGCAGCGAGAAATGGAGGGAAAGTGTTGTTTATATCGAGTTTGGTTTCAGTAATAAAAAATGTGTTTAAAACAAATTAAGTTAACTTACGTTTGCAAATACAAGTTTGACAACCATTTTTATCGGTAACATATCCTAGGGGACAAGGCCTTATACACAAGCGAGGTAAACAGATTGGTGCTGTTAAAATATAAAGCAATATTTGTAGAGAAATCATTTCAGTGCTGCATCATGTAGCAGGGCCTTTTTAATTAAAGAACTCGTCAGTGGGGGAGGCGGCATCTACAGAAAGGGACCATACTATTATACAGGGTGTCTCAAAAGACCGCTACCCTTAGAAATTCACCATTGTTCTAATTTGAATGCCTGAACCTTGTTGAAGCCATGAATGCGTAAACATTTTCACAGGATACATATATTAAAGATCTTCGGAATTAAAATATCTTCCTTGAAAAGCGAAATTGTTTATCCTGGGAATTGAAAGTAGGTTCATACAAAAGTATAACTGCACGAAAATCGTTCAATTACATAATAACTTCTCAAGCATAAAATTCCATTCAAATTGTTCATCCACCCATGAGTTCAAGATAGCACTCAGGCATTCAAATTAGAACAATGGTGAATTTCCAAGGGTAGCGGTTTTTTTGAGACACCCTGTATACTGAGTGTGAACTGTGAAGAGATGACAGATGGTTGTTGTATGGTGACAAAAAGTTGTGGTGTTGTATGATTGTATAATAGTAGGGAGGTGTCCGTCACGAGGAATTCTCCACCAGAGCCCTTTTGTACTTTTTTTACCCCTATAGGACTCGCTTCGTGCGTTTTCTGAAACAGATTTTGGATATAGTGAGAGCGCCGTACAAATCCGCGTCTGCACGGAAAATAACAAAATGGCGCCAAAATTTGAAAAAATCTTGAATTTCGTCAAGCAATTAAGGGGGAGGGGCTGCATGTACGTTCTATAACTGTAGGTTATAATATGATTTAATTATTCAAGTTTTATTTATCTATTTCTTATATGTGGTGTGTTTCATTTCAAGATGGCAAAAGAGAACCATGGTACACATGCATCGCGGCTATATTACTGCAGTGCTTACGTCTAATGTTACATTGGCAAGTTTGACAACCATTTTTATCTTTCATAAATCCATAACGACAAACACGCTGTTTACACAAATGAACTGGGCATATTGGAGCACCTATAAATAAAGCAATATTAGAACAGTATTAATAACAGATTCGAAGGGACAAGACTTTCCACCAAAACAAAGAAAACATTTATTGTGCTGAAAAATTAAAGACAATATATTTTAAAACCACTTTAACTTTATTTCAAAAAACTGACCGTATTTTATTGTAATAATTTTAATCAAACCTTTATTTGAAATTTTCAGTTGTTTTAGCACCAAATTACATTACAATATTTGAAAGATTTGCAAATAATATAGGTTTGAAATAATCATGTCGTGTGTTATTATAGAAGTAAATCAGGTATAATAGTAATAGCAGTGGTGGCATGGTGTGCTTGCACGCAAGCATGTCGTCGTCAGTTATCATACGACTTGAGCTCATGATTCCTATATATGCAGAACTATGTATTTAAATTAAACAACACTAGTTTCTTCGATCGTATTAGTAGTGAACAGATTGGAAGTTCTAAAATACAGTAGAGTCTGTAGAGAGTAATTGAATCAGAGTCTGAAGTGATGAGTGCTTTGCGCATCTCGTCAGTTCGACGCATGGTCAACCACTCACAAGTCGAGCTTATGATATAACCATAATTGCATATTCAAAAATACAAAATCCTCCTGATTACATAAACGTGTAGTTTATTTTCGCAAATCACGAGCTATATATGTAAGTATACGTGTATGTTGCATTTGATGACTATACAACCACTTGACTCCTGCTGCAATATATATGCAGTCGCTCATGCAGTTGCATGTAGATTATAATATTCACTTACTTTTGTAAGTGCAAGTTCGACAACCATTTTTTCTATATTTTTGCCATGCATATAACCCTATTTTAAGTTTTTGAAATGCAGTCTGTAGGTCACTTTTAATTCACTCCTAATAAGTCTCCAAATCCGATTTGAGTGGGCGGGATGACCTCTCAATATTGTTGCAGTTGCTAAATAAATTAGTATTTATTTATTTATTTGTATATACCAAGTCTGAAAAAAAACATATTTGGCAGTCTCGAGTGCACATAACATATATACTGTTTCGATCTTTCGGTCCTAGTCAATAAGTGTTAATAAATACAATGCCATAATATATATTATACCTAGGTATAACACTACTTAAAGTGCATATGACATGAAATTTTTTATTTTGGTAAATGAAAGAACTCTTTAAGTTGTAGTGTAACTTATTTTTGAGTTTCTTGTTTTTATGGTTTGTTCCCGAGATATTTCAATTTGTTTGATATGTAAATGAGTGTGAATATGTCCGCTAATTTATGACGTCATGTTGGTTGCAAGCTAGCTCTTCAAAATGGTTGAATATCAGTGCTATCATCCAAGATGATAATTTCAAACTTCACTCACTGGTAAATGTGATGAAACACTGGAGAAAAACGTAAACTGATATCAACAGTTTTTAGAGTTAATACATTTATAACCAGTGTAAGTTGAGCTTGCAACCAACATGACGTCATAAATTAGCGGAGATATTCACAATCATTTACACATCAAACAAATTGAAATATCTCGGGAACAAACCATAAAGACAAGAAACTGAAAAAAAAGTTACACTACACTTAAAGAGTTCTTTCATTTAAGAAAATAAGAAATTTCATGTCATATGCACTTTAAAAACAAATTAAGTTAACTTACGTTTGCAAATACAAGTTTGACAACCATTTTTATCTTTCATAAATCCATAACGACAAAGACGCTGTATACACAAATGAACTGGACATATTGGACCACCTATAAATAAATCAATATTAGAACAGTATTAATGACAGATTCGAAGGGACAAGACTTTCCACCAAAGCAAAGAAAAAATTTATTGTGCTGAAAAGATATTATATTTTAAAACCTGCAGTATAACTTTATTTCAAAAAACTGACCGTACATTATTGTAATAATTAATTTAATCAAACCATTATATTGAAATTTTCGGTTGTTTTAGCACCAAATTACATTACAATATTTGAAAGATTTGCAAATAATATAGGTTTGAAATAATCATGTCGTGTGTTATTATAGAAGTAAATCAGGTATAATAGTAAGAGCAGTGGTGGCATGGTGTGCTTGCACGCATGCATGTCATCGTCACTTATCATACGACTTGAGCTCATGATTCCTATATAATTATGCAGAACTATATATTTAAATTAAACAACACTATAGTTTCTTCGTATTAGTAGTGAACAGACTGGAAGTTCTAAAATACAGTAGAGTCTGTAGAGAGCAATTGAATCAGAGTCTGAAGTGATTAATTTGTGCTTTGCGCATCTCGTCAGTTCGACGCATGCCGCATGGTCAACCACTCACAAGTCGAGCTTATGAAATAACCATAATTGCATATTCAAAAATACAAAATCCTCCTGATTACATAAACGTGTAGTTTATTCTCGCAAATCACGAGCTATATAGCTATACGTGTATGTTGCATTTGATGACTACACAACCACTCGACTCCTGGTGCATGCAGGTAGTATATGCAGTCGCTCATGCAGCTGCATGTAGATTATAATATTCACTTATTGGTATAAAATTAGAATTACTTTTGCAAGTGCAAGTTCGACAACCATTTTTTCTATATTTTTGCCATGCATATAACCCTATTTTAAGTTCTTGAAATGCAGTCTGTATAGGTCATAGATATCTTATACACACTAGATAGCGCATCTCTTTTAGTAAAATTGAAGCCAAGAATATTCCAGCGGTTACCCCCATTTGAATAGATGGCAGCCATGTTGGTCATTCCCACTTGCTAATAAACGCTTAAAAACAACAATAACTTTCATCATTTGAATATTTTAAAAACGAATTTCGAATTAATGTTTAAGTTCCCTGTTTAAGAAATAGAAAACATACGAATCTTCTAATTTCATGGGAACGACCTGAGATTGCAATCACGGCTTCAATTCTTGAACTGCAGAATAATTAGATGCACTATCTAGTGTATATAAGATTTCCATGATATAGGTCACTTTTAATTCACTCTTAATAAGTCTCCAAAAAGGTAGGTGTGGTGTCGTATATATGATTGTATAATAATAGGGATGTCTTGGGGAATTCTCCCCCAGAACATTTTTGTATTCTTCCCTAAGACTGGTCAGCTCGCCCACGAGTCGAGCTTATGATATAACCATAATTGCATGCTCAATAATACAAAATTCAAATATATAGACACGTCGATCCTGAAATCGAGAGCAGTAGTTGTTGCTATATTATTACACTCAGAGGTGTAGAAAAGGGGGAGCTCAGGGGAGCTCATCCCTTGTTCAAAATTTCATGGCGATTTGGGTGGGGGCGGGCTGCATGACTTCTCAATATTGTTGCAGTTGCTAAATAAATTAGTATCTATATTTATTTGTATATACCAAGTCTGAAAAAACATTGGCAGTCTCGAGCGCACAAAACATATATACTGTTTCTTTCGGTCCTAGTCAATAAGTGTTAATAAATGCAATGCCATAATATATATTATACCTAGGTATAACACTACTTAAAAACAAATTAGGTTAACTTACGTTTGCAGATACAAGTTTGGCAACCATTTTTATCGGCAACATATCCTAGGGGACAAGGCCTTACACACAAGCGAGGTAAACAGATTGGTTCTGTTAAAATATAAAGCAATATTTGTGTAGAGAGATCATTTCAGTTTAGTGTGGTGTTGTATGATTGTATAATAGTAGGGAGGTGCCCTCCACGATCGAGGAATTCTCCCCCAGAACATTTTTGTATGAAAAATAACAAAAAAAAACGAAATGGCGCCAAAATTTGAAAAAAATCTTGAATTTCGTCAAGCAATTAAGGGGAGGGGCTGTACGTTCAACAACTGTAGGTTATAATATGATTTAATTATTCAAGTTTGATTTATTTATTTCTTAAATGTGGTGTGTTTCATTTTAAAATGGTAAAAGAGAACCATGGTACACATGCATCGCGGCTATATTACTGGAGTGCTTACGTCTAATGTTACATTGGCAAGTTGGGCAACCATTTTTATCTTTCATAAATCCATAACGACAAAGACGCTGTATACACAAATGAACTGGGCATATTGGAGCACCTATAAATAAAAGCAATATTAGAACAGTATTAATGATAGATTCGAAGGACAAGACTTTCCACCAAAGCAAAGAAAAAATTTATTGTGCTGAAAAAGTAAAGAGAATATATTTTAAAACCACTATTCATAACTTTATTTCAAAAAACTGACCGTATATTATTGTAATAATTTTAATCAAACCTTTATATTGAAATTTCCGGTTGTTTTAGCACCAAATTATATTACAATATTTGTGAAAGATTTGCAAATAATATAAGTTTGAAATAATCATGTCGTGTGTAATTATAGAAGTAAATCAGGTATAATAGTAAGAGCAGTGGTGACATGATGTGCTTGCACGCATGCATGTCGTCGTCAGTTATCATACGACTTGAGCTCATGATTCCTATATAATTATGCAGAACTATATATTTAAATTAAACAACACTATAGTTTCTTCGTATTGGTAGTGAACAGACTGGAAGTTCTAAAATACAGTAGAGTCTGTAGAGAGCAATTGAATCAGAGTCTGAAGTGATGAGTGCTTTGCGCATCTCGTCAGTTCGACGCATGGTCAGCTACTCACAAGTCGAGCTTATGATATAACCATAATTGCATTATTCAAAAATACAAAATCCTCCTGATTACATTTTGCGAATCACGAGCTATATATGTATACTGTACGTGCATGTTGCATTTGATGACTATACAACCACTCGACTCCTGTTGCAAGTATATGCAGTCGCTCATGCAGCTGTATGTAGATTATAATATTCACTTACTTTTGCAAGTGCAAGTTCGACAACCATTTTTATCAATAACATATCCTAGCGGACAAGCCCTAAAACACTTCAAATATGGACATGTTGCTCCTGAAATCAAGATTAATAGTTGTTGCTATATTATTACACTCAGGGGTGTAGAAGAGGGGGAGCTCAGGGGGGACTCAGGCCTTGTTAAAATTTCATGCAGATTTGGGGGGGGGGCTGACCTCACAACATTTTTGCAGATTGCATAACCATAACCTGGAAAGTTCTTTGCAACTGTACTGTTAAAATGATGCGGGAATGGTGTTAGTAATCTGTACTAATTGATTACTATGAGCATACTATTATGTCATGTATGTGGCTCCAACGTGAAATAGCTTCGGTATATCGGAATCTATTATTTGAAGTTAAGTCCTTTCTGCAAAAAACACTAATTGAAGAATTACCAGAACCAAAATAATGCTGGAACTTTCCATGTTTACCATGTTGCACCCTCCACGCCTTAATTGTCACCCTCACATCTTGTCACCGGCCCGCTCCCCTTTAACAACCCCCCTTGTTATCGTTTCAGTTCTATACACCACTGATTACACTGTAAAAACCGATTGGTTAAGATAACCAATAAATTAATCATCTGTTATAAGAAACAAAATGAATCTGAGACAACCAATTCTTTGGTTGTTTTAACCAACTTTGCATTTTTTAGTAATGGCATCTACGACAGCTACACTGGCACAATGTGCACAGACAGCCCAAGGTGATGTTATTATGCTGGACAGTATTTTGTAATGTACACCTATATAGTATATCACGGTCCAAAAGCTTTTTGTCACTAATGTAGCTCGTCGGCTACTGATCAGCTATTAAAGGTCAGGTAGCTCATATAGGAGCTTAGCTTATGTTATCTTTGTCAAATTTGTAATCAAGTTAGTCTCATCCACCTCTTCCCTTTCTCAAGCCCCTTAAACGACACTTGAAATAAATATGTGCCCCGAGAGATTACGACTTAGACTTATTTTATACTTTATAAACTTACTTTATACTGTCAACTTACTTTTACACAGACAAAGTCGACAACCGTTAAAAGTAACATATCCGCGAGGACAAGGCCTCGAACACTTGAAAAGCGGGCATTTTGCTAAAGGAAGAGAAATAAAATAGGAATACCGAGTCAGAATTTATGCGCCTTAAAAATGTTCTACATCTTGCACGTATAGATACTTTTATTCATTATCTATAACAATTACATAAATTTCATTAATTATCATATTAATTATAATCCATTCAATCCAACAACAATGAAATACTTCTGATCGACGTCTGTCAGTCAGTTTCAATGGTAGCACGCTTACACACTCAAATGAAATAATCTATAAGTACTGCATGGGTGTAACTTTTGACGACTAACTTATAACCAAAAAAACCACTTGAACCAAAAACATCAACAACTTGTGTTCAATAATTAATAGTAGACTTGCTTTGTTACAGCACGTATAGGATTATAAACCCTTTTTAACTTTTCCACTCCTTGACTATATTGACAGGTTTTCATTTTTTCCTATATTTTTGTCATGCGTAACCCTATAAGTTCTCGAAATACAGTCTGTAGGTCACTTTTAATTCACCCATAATAATTTGCATGTCTCCTTATTATAATTAGTTATTCCTATATTTTTGTATGCACAAATTTCATATATTTTTGTATGCCCAAAAGGCATTCGAATTACGTAATTTTAAATCCCAGCATGCATGCAGCTTCCACCCACACCAATTGATGCAAAAAATACTGATATTAAGTATATTATAATGTGTCCGTGGTTCACATGTTTTGTGATTACATGGTTTGCTGCCACAAAGTGATCAGTGCATGACAGTGTTTGAGACTCGTTAAAATTTCGATGAGTAGAAACAGCAGAGTTTTGAAGGAGAGAAACAACTACCTGAAAAATACAAGCGAAGGCCTTCAGTCGTCTGAAAGTTAGAAGCCAACTTCGAACTACTCATGCGTCCTTCGCTCGAAACGTCGAAGTTCTTTTTGTATATTTTTAGGTATATAGAGGATGTTACACGGCGGCGCGAAGGTGTGGCTTTTATCTTCGAGTGGTGAAAACAATATTTTACGAACGAGCGCAACGAGTGCCGAGTAAAATATTGTTTTTAACACGAGAAGATGAAAGTCATATCTTCAAGCTACCGTGTAATGTTCTGTTTATTATATAGTCCCAAGCAAAAAATTGTGAAATTTCACGCTCAAAAGCAAATTGGAAAAAGTCACGTGATCGATATCTTCACTAGTGAAGATATGGAAAATATCTCACTGTGTATTTTTCAGTATCTCACTCTCTACTATATAATAAATTCGTGTATATCTCCTACAGACTCCGAGCTGTTTCTGACTTGTTCTTTAGAAAATTTAATTAGTACCCTTTTAATTGTTTTATTGTGGTTGCATTTTTCTTAATATGTTTGCATGGTTACTACGAAACGGTGGACATTTTTACTAAATAATTTGTACAATAAGTCAGTCAGTATGTGAGAATATATGTAATATGTTTTAATTTGACCTTTTTTAACTAGGCCTAGTACAAATTTATCGGCATGGTTTTATCCGTTCTAATTTGTTTCTATACCATGCCATTCAATAGGGAATCTATCCAACTCAACTTTTACTGCATGGATACTTCATGGTATACTGCCCGAAAACTTGCAACGTGTAAGTTTCTTTTTTAATTAAGAAAGTGGGAAAATTGTTTTTTCTTTAATATATGTTTGCACTTTGCATTGGTATTTGTGACAACGGTTAGTGTCAGTGGCGAAATTCTTGGGGCAAAATCTATAACAATGGAACGATGGGCATTTTACCAAATAATTATACCATAACAACAGGTCGGTATATACAGTATATGTGAGAATAATATATTTTAATACAAAGATAAAGAATTGGCCAAGTGAGGTTATTGTAATGTCCAGTTTGATTTTTTTAGCTAGTTTAAAATTGATGGTTTTATCCGTTATATTTTGTTTCTATCGTGCCATTCATGTTTGCAATGACGTAATTTTGGGATTTCAGTTGATGGGCAGGTATAACAAGAACCGGCTATTTTAATGCATTGATCGAGTTTAGAGACAGTTTTCGACTCAAAAGATGAATTACCATTCAGTTTTTCTTTCTACAACAATTTGGATAGGAGAAAAATCGCCCACAAGTTGTTTGACTGCCCGTCATTTGGATGAAAAGTTACATGATCGCAAACAATTAAAGAATAGAAATTGTTTGGGTGGAGCAAACCGAGCAAGAGCTATAGGGCTTTATCATTGTATAAAGACTCGAGCCACATAGTCTGTCAAGATATTGTGATGGTCTGGAAACTAAGCAGATTGAGTCGTTGTAGCTATTATGTTTTTGCCTGAGTATGTTAATTTGTGCACGGTCACGGTGATTGAGTTCATTGTATTTTCGTATAATTAAGTGACCGTCCAATAGGAATAGCTGACATGAAACGTACAACCACGATGACTAAGGCAGCGTTTACACTGTACCGTTTTCGTAGCGTTCTCGTATTGTTCGAGAGAACTAGACTATTGTCTTGCGTTCCCTTGAGGATTAAGAACAATACGAGAACGCTACGAAAACGGTACAGTGTAAACGTTGCCTAATATTTAATAAAATTGAGACAAAGGATTTGTGCACGGTGATATACTGTTCAACATCAAACAAAGCCTTCTATTTTGTAGCTTTGAAGTTTGCTGTGTGGGCTTCCAGACCATCATATCTTGACAGACTATGCTCGAGCCAAAGGCGAGATTACATGTACATTTATACATGACAAAAATACATGTGATCAAGATACATGCATATAATGCATAATACGCAGCCGACTTTAACGAGGTGTGTGACAGGATTTGACGAACTTCATTGGATAATTACCTGATGAATTAGTATAAGAATTGAATTAGAATAAGTAATATAATTGTATTAATTTATTTACGTCTTCAAAATGTAGAGAGATGTCATTGCGTCACACTATAGGCATGCCCCTCCGCCCTATGATCCTCTTACTCCCAGAATTAACGCCCTTGTCTCCATATATGCATGCAAGAACTCTATAATAAATGATATATTGAACAACAGACTCGTTAAACTCACCGCTGGTAGGTGTTGGATATAAGGACACCATTGCCTAAAATTATTGATATGTATACATATTAATATTAACAAACAGAAATGAAAACATAATCTATTGTATACTGTATCGACAATCATTCAGTTTGGCATACGTAAAGTTAGTGTATTTTATTCATTCGTCATTTAGTGTAAGGTGTACTAAATCCGTTTTACGAACGCTTCTTTAGGCTCACTTTGATCATCCATAAAATATATTGAGACGTTTGGAATTCACTCCCCGTCCGAACTATACCAAAATTGCGCGTTTTTGACCAAATGTTTTTTAAAACATCGAAATGTGCAAACAAAAAGGGCACCTTTGATGTTTAATTTAGTATTTACAGCGACATTAGCTTGTTCAAAAACGGGGCACTTTTCATCACAAAAAATGGCACTTTTGGTCCTTGAAAACATTTGGAGGGCACGTGCCCCCTGTGCCCCCCCCCCCGGTTCCTACGCCCCTGCACGTGAGAGAGGGGTGGGATTAACAGTGACGAGTGCTTAAAATTAAGAGTAGGGGGACTTATCGTTGAGAGAGAGGGTAATAAAGGATTAGAGGCATTCGATGTCAAGAAACACTCAACTCATATATTTTGAGGGGAAGTCGAAAAGCTTGATGATCGAGCGTACAAGTATGTAAGTGACAGTCCGGAAGCGCATGCACTCGCCGCGCTATTCAACGCAACTCATATATGCATTCCGAGCAGTCATGCTCTAAAGCCCAAGATGTTTATAATAATTTAAGAATATTGCATTTAAAAAGGATTACAGTATACACGAAGTAAAAACACAAAATAATTTCTTTTCTGGGTTGGAGACATTTGTAGGGCATTTGTAGCAATTAAGGAAACTGGCTATGGGCTGGAAAGTTGAAACAATGGGGGGAACGAGTGTGTTCCCCTGTTGAAAATTATACATTATTCATGCATGTAATATTGGTGTGTTCAGTGTCATGATCATGCATTGACAAGTACTACAAGCACTTTTCAATCCGCATTAATGTTTTATTAGAGACCTTAACTTGGTCGGTTGTGCAAAGGCTGAATAGCGCTGTCCACCGCGAACTGCGATTATTTCAAGCTTTCTAAAATTGTCTGTTGACTACACAATTATTAAAGTGTATAGTATTCATAAATAAAGTTTCATTTTATTCATTTTATTTCCTGGGAGCTAGGTCTACATTCTTAGTCTTATAGCTTCTCAAACATTTTTATAGTAAAATTGCAGTCAGTTGGTGGTATGCGTTCTACAAGATTTCTCTAGCTAAGTAGCTGCCTATAGGTCCTTACTCATGCTTCAATTTTAACACACAAATTACACTAACTTAATTCAAACAGCCAACTGTTGAGCCAACTGTTTAAATATGGTTTGAAGCTTTTAAGACTGAAGTTTGCCATTTGCGGCCCATTTGCTGTAAATTTTAATCTTAGGTATGTATTATATATAATTATGTAATGCATATTCGAATGCAATCGTAAATATTTGGTGCAAACATTTAAAGGATGCAAACATAAATAATTTCTTTAATTTAATTAAGATAACAAGTTACCATCATCAATACTTACCATGACAACAAGGGCGAATGCATACCTCAAATAAGTCATTCTCGTAAATATCTAGGAAAGCAAGCGAAAACTGCTGTTAAATATCACGCCAGTGGCATTTTTCCCTTGCAACTAGCTTGACTATCACATGGCTCTAATTTTATATTTTCTCATTCATACAATCTAAATGCCAAAGTGAAACAAGATTACATGAGATGGCATATTTGCAATATGTAATTTTCTGCGGACTTTAACTAGGGCACAACACGCTACCAAATCGATCTACACGCTATCAATTATGAACCCAGGCCACACTGCCACAGGCATCATGCATATTTTCAATATTCATATTATAGAACAAGCACTGGTAGATGTGATATAAATATTCTTGTCTAGGTTTAAAATGTTTTACCTTGTTCGACTTGATTCTTTCTTGCACAACTATAACTTTCAACTCTTACTCTTGAAACTGGCAATGATCCGCAATATATATAGTATTTACTTGAACATCCAATTAACACTTGTCAGTATCCTGTTTCGCATGGATTATTTATTAGCAGCCTGTACGTGCAATATACGACACGCATACATAGTTCTTCGTTTCCCCTATACCTTTGTTATTATTCACTCCGCACTTGGTTTCCCCTCTAAATCATCTTAGACGTCAAATATTGGTCACGCGCATACGTATAGTTATGCGTTTCCTGTACGTTCTCGTTAATTACCGCTCCGAACTTGATTTCCCTCTATTTATCTAACTTTAATTGATTTAATTACGTATGCACAGTTCGACGGTTCGACATTGGCTACATTGCTCTCTTCTAAAGACACGTACATTTGATTTTCATCAGGGGTGGATTCAGCGTCTCAATCTGACCGTAGCATTTTGACTGAAGTCCACATGCGTGGTCACAGGCCACGCCCCTTCTATGGGGTTCCAGTGGCATGACCCTCCTTCCCCCAGACATTTTTTGAAATTTGAGGCCCCAAAAATAAGCCTTATGGTTTCATGAAGTCTCCTCGCCACGTTATTTATACTCTCCTAATTTATGTAATCTTTAATATGTGTTTGGCAAATAAATCATTCATTCATTCAATCATTCAAATACCATTTCCCGCATTCTGAGCATCGAAATTAGATTTAAAATTTGTGGGAAAAGTGCCTCTTTTTCACACCAAAATAAGAAAAAAACTGATGCACACAAGTTACAAAATGCATTCATCAACATACCACTTCGAACAACAAATTTAAACAGCAACATAATAATAGGAAAAATGTTTATTTGTAAATGTTTATCGGTTGTATTAATATTCGCGCAGTACTAGAATTCGCGCAGAGCTGCATTGTGCGCAAATTTTAGTACTGTGCGAAATATCAGTAATCCGCGCGAAAGCTTTGTGCCCAATTGTGCATGGTGTCATGCAAATCAGTTGATTTATTAACGCATGTATTTTCACATTTGACATATGTTTTAAGTTGTCCTAGCTGGTAACATTAAAAATAAAAAATGTCTTCATATATATCTTCATCCTGGACAATTTCAGTCGGGATATTCTCAAGTTCCACCAGAGTAAAGAACCTCAAACATTGACATTGTCGTCAAAGGTTGGCAAGAATCAGGTGTGAGCGTATTGGAGGAGCCACAACGAAAAGAGGGTCCGTTTGAACTATATAGCTAAAATTTTGTTTGACTTTAAAAGTATAATGTTAGGCAACAGTCATTCCAATTTGTTTGATACATATATGGATATAGTATATCAATTATGAAAGTCTTGAAAGCCATACAACCCTCATGCGTGCATGACATAGATATTTTGCATAAAATACAGTCATTCAGTTGCACACTGGGAAATTCGATTTTAGAATGGAGCATTGATTGCAATACTGAAAATGTTATAACAGCACTGCTACATTTTCATGTAATGTATTTCTTTCGGCATTGAAGTTCAAATTCTAGATCTGGTATGCCGTATGCCTCTGCACATCAACCAACACCACCTTCGTCCAAAGGTGTCTGAGAGTACATGCAGCCAACATCAGAATTCCGTCAGCACGGAGAGAATAAAATCATGGTGATTTAAAATTCTTATTCACAAAGCTCTCCGCAAGCCCTAGAAGTCCTTGACCAACTTCATTCCCGGGCTTTTGTGTACGATGTTGATTTGATTGATTTCTGTCGGTCAGTATTTCATGTTTATTGTAAGTACGAACTTTTAACCTATATCCCTCATACTGGATACAAAAATGTATTATTGATTTCGCATGTAGGTGGCGAAATGATTTATTCTTAGTCTTTCATTTGTTTCATACGTCTATCTATATGATCTACGTTTCGTCACCGGAATTTCTGCTGCTGATTAATTGCATGTGTACACTGCATGATGGTACGTATATACGCGCGATTCATCCGACCATCCAATATTTTCGTATTTCCCGTTGATATTCCGGATCTTTGACCATAACCACATATTGACGTACTTTGTATGATTTTGTTTTTTTAAATCAGTTTTGTTTTCCCGATTTGACGAGAAAGTTCGTGTTTGAAGTATAGATTTTGAAAGGGTTGTATATATCAATGTTGTGTTCAAATTAAGTAATAAGATTTGAAAATTACTTTATTTGATAAAGTTTATTAACATCCTTATTTCTTTATTACAAAGTTGGATGCTAAAATCTCTGCCAGTATAGAAATTTTGTTCAACTTGACGTGCTGGATAGAGAACTGAAATGAGGATATACTGAAACAGGGTTCTAGTATAGAAAACTCAAAATTGTTAGTTCCATCTGGGCCAGCGTAGGGTTCAACATATTAGGTTCAACTCCTGGAAAATATATGCAATACAAAATATCTTTCAGGTGGTCGAATCTCTATCAATATCCATGTTATAGGCCGATTAGATCAATCGCGACTTGACGTTTTCAGCCGCGCCACAAGTTGTCGCAGATATTTACGTTTATCGTATAAAGGGATATAACACATACTGTACTGTAAATAAACTATGGGACATTGTAGTACTTATCAGTGCACGAATCTGGTTATCTTTTCTCCTCTGAGCGCCTGGAAAACTCATGATCAATCATTATAGAGAACCTTTGCTTGAATATATACACGTAGATCATCTTAGACCAGTGATCTTTTAATTTTTGACGTCTGTTCGGATTCCAGTTTTTGTGTTGATTGTCCCAAGACTGGGGGTCAATTATAAACTATAGCTGTTGACAATATTACACAATTCACTATAAGCATAGTCATAGATACTTCCAGTTTGCTTGAGTCAGTACACGAAACAATTAAATGGCTTGAAATCGAGGCGGACAATGCAATATCAATGGACCATTTGCATTATAGATTAAATTTTGATCTAGACAAAAATTTCATCACAGCTTGAAAGAGCATCACAAAATTAGTAATACGCCAAAGTTTCGTTGCGAAATGTTGTAAAATGCGGATAATATAGCCTTGCGAAGTTTCCATTTTTCAATCGGCATTACGGTATTACGTACGCACGGGAAATTGACAGCCCAATCGGGTGTTGGGGCATCAATTTCCGTTTGTAATACAAAATGACTGAAAATTGCAAATTTCGCAAGGCTATATTATCCGCATTTTACAACATTTTGCAACAAAACTTTGGAATATTACTAATTTTGTGATGCTCTTTCAAGCTGTGATGAAATTTTTGTTTAGATCTATATAATTGTTTGTATTAGTCTATATAATGCAAATGTCCATTAATTGTAACTAACCATGCAGCCCCCCATCTCTCATAATTAAAAAAATTTCACGCAGTATTAAAACTTGTATCTGAAACAAAAATCGCAAAAGATCATGTCAACCAAGGCGATATCTGTATCAGATTAAGAGACACTGCATGTCTTGATTAAATAGAGAATAATACATGGCCATGGTGCTTCGAAATACCATTTCTCGTGTTGAACATAATATATTTGACTCGTTCGCGCTATAACGGCTGTTTATTACATAAGACTGTCCTAGAATCTGTCCTAGTCTTTGAAAAACAGTTTTATTAGTGCTCAAAATATCTATAAGCACTATACTTTACAGTACCGTAGCCAGCCCGACGTTTTCGATTCCACTATGCAAATATTTTCGTGTTCATTGACTGTGAAAACAATCAATTTCTAACTAAATAGATAATGATAATAATTTGGAATTTGCATAGCGGGACTAAATTGTCGGGCTGGCTACGCCATGCACTGATACTTTATATAATAAAAAAAAACACATTATGCTACGTAAGGTAGTGCGCATCATGATTATGATTATAGTCATGATTATAGTCTGCTGAACTTGAGACGAAATTGGATTTAACTAGAAGCTTTTGTTTGAATATGCTGTGGCAAGTCAGTCGAGTCATTTATGAATATAATGTTAAATTATGGAATTAAGAAATTTAAAAAAATATAACGATCCAGGAAAGTTATTGGAATACAATATAACAGTCGCATGGCAATGCATACAGATATATGCAAACCATTATTGTGTTTTTGAAACATCATCCCGAAAAAAATGAAAAAAATGTCCGGCGAGTGTTCTTTTGCTATAGGGAAAGCCAAGACGCGTTGGGTTTGAGCCGAATTGACGTAGAAACATGCATGTCGATTTTCACCTGTTTTTAAACATCGATACGACGTCGAAAATACAACATGGAAACGAAATGGATTTCCAGACGTTGAAACGACGTCTATTCATAGACGTTGAGACGAAGTCGATTTCTAGACGATGAAACGACGTCGATTTCTAGACGTTGAAACGACGTCAATTTCTCAACGTCGATTCCGTTTGCGTTTTCAACCCTTTTTCGACGTCGATTCGACGACATCCTCTGACGTCGTTTCGACGTTGTTTCGACGTACGTCGTTTTGCCGGCTGGGGTGCCTCAATAGACGACCGGTCGATGGCACTTTTTGTTAGCACTATCCGATGATATTTTGCATAGTTTTATACTATGCAAAATATCTTTGGATACTGCTTATTTTGAAACTGAGAGCACAAGCATAATTTTTTATTTATGCATGTGCTTAAATTTGAAGGTATTATATTTATTTTCTATACAACATTTCGACGGATGGGATTTCTCTCAAGTTCTGTATTTCATACGCATGTGATCACTGTTTTAACTTTCTATTTGGCTGACCATCTAATTAACATGTGTATAGACTATAGTTCGGGTAATCTTTATTCGCGTACGTATCTCCAAAAAAATGCAGAAAATGTCAGGTCTAGACGCCAAACCTTAGATGAAACACTTGCTTGGCGATTTTCTTTCAATTTTAGTCTTGGTCTGAAACATATGGCTGGTAATTAAATGGGACCTATATACCTCCCTGCATGATCCCCCTATTTCTATGCATGGATAATGTGCATGAGTGCATGCTCATAATATTAATGAATGTCTCAATTGACTTCGGATTGGATTTGGAAGCTGTACGTACGTATACGTGGCCTGGCCAGTGGTTTTCCAGATGAAACATCCTATATAAAATAATTAATATGAGCATATACGCTTTTTAAATCAATTGAGTGGATATAGTGACCATGCATATAGATCAGATTCAAAATAGTTTGTTATGCACATGCACTTCTTAAAGTGCCTGTGTAACGAAATTTCACCCCAAAGGTTTATGATTGCATTGTAAAGATCACTTAAAATGACTTAATAATTATTTCTTTTATATAATTTTGGTAACTTACTCGACCCTTTTCAAGATATTCAATTTTGTTTCATATGCAAATAATGAGTTCTCAGAAAAGTATAGTTTTGTTGACGAATATACGTATCTAAAAACTTAAAAATTGCCCTTAAATGTATATGTATTAATTTCATAACTGGTAATTAACCCTCTGCATGTATTTGTTTGTAAAAATATTTTATCAAGGTAAAATAATGCGTTTTCAAAATGTCATTATGCGATGTGATGTCACACCGGTGATATTTGAATATGAAACAAAGTTGAATATCTTGCAAAGGAAGCGAGTTACCAAAATTCTATAAATGAAATTATTAAGTCATTTTAAGTGATTAATACAATCATAAACATTTGGGATGAAATTTCATATCATATAGGCACTTTAACAAATTAACATTTCCTCCATTTTTGTGACGTTACTCTGAGTGTATATCCACACCGGGCAAGCTTGAAAAATATGCGGCCTGGCCACGGTGGGAATCGAACCTACGACCTTTGGAATACTAGCCCAATGCTCTGCCAACTGAAGTACGCGGTCAGGTCGGTTCGAGTATGCGATATTTCGGAACTGAGTCTAGTTCCTTCGATATCAATGCAATCTAGTAATCATGATTTTTTTCTGTGTTGGTGTTATGTACTCAGGTGAATATGATGTTTGTGATGTTACTTTGATTGTATATCCACACCGGGCAAGCTTGAAAAATATGCGGCATGACCGCGGTGGGAATCGACCCTACGACATTTGGAATACTATAGCTCGATGTTCTGCCAACTGAGCTACGCGGTCAGGTGGGTTCGAGTATGCGATATTTCGGAACTGAATCTAGTTCCTTCCGTCTAGTTACTAGATTGCATTGATATCGAAGGAACTAGACTCAGTTCCGAAATATCGCATACTCGAACCGACCTGACCACGTAGCTTAGTT